AGCAGGAATCAAATGTGAACTGTGTCCTGAACAACAATAACGGGCATAATGCCACATATTTTACAGTCGGATTCTGTGGCATGACACTTGGTAAAATTGGTCATAAGCTGTAGACTGCGGCAGCGAAAGCACTTCTGTGCAGTTCGGGGTTTGGTTGGTGCAAGATGAATCTAAGCAACATCATGTGTTGGTGTTTGTGCTGCAAAACATCTCGCTTGTTCTGCAGCAGCCGTTGTGTTGCGACCAATTTCTATTGCGGCACCTTCTCAGACTGCGATTCCCGGATCCGAGTGGTGCGCCAGTATGATCCCCTCGACCAAGCTTTTTGATGTGGAAGAGTATTCGCAAGGACATACGTCGCGTATGACGCGATTAATGAACCTTCCAGATTCCGATGGTTCTTGGATAAGTCGACAACTCTTGTGTAGAGCTGCGAAAATCTTTGTACGCCGGCACTAGGACTTATCCAACACGTCCAGCCTTTTCGTCAAGGTAGCTTGAGGTTACAGTTCCAAGGCAACAAACTGGCGCTGCACCTCGTCACCGAGCAGGTGCCTGGAAGGTTTTAGTTTCTGGCATTCTGTATAGTTGGAAGCCGCAGGTAATAAGCAAAAGATCTGTAAACGTTATCTTCCACTGGATGTATCCACCTTCCGTAGGACACACCATCGAAGCACACTAGTATGCTGTGCCACCATGGCGCACGTTTGCTGCTCACCACATCAGTGCTGTTTACGCAAGTCGAACCACTAAGTGCAACTGCTATTCCTCTCTTCGATATTCTTGATTACACTGAAGGCGTATGCGCAAAGCGTTGCACTTCGCCAACTTAAACTGGAGCTGTTTTTCGAGCGGGAATGTTTAGGCCCTGTCGAGATCTCTTTGAAGTGCCGTGTGGTTGTCCACTGCCTGGATATTATGCCAGACCTAGACATCGTCTGTGAATAATAAGAAGTTCGACTGGAGGGCTTTGACAAAATCGCTGATGAATACTAGGAATAAACATGGTCCAAGAATCGATCCTTGTGACACGCCACACTGGACTTCAATTAGTTAAGAGATAGAGCTGCGGACTCTCATATCCCGTTGAAGTTGAATGAAGAAGTTTCTTATCCAACTCACAACAGGGTCACCGATTCGGTAGTTTCTAAGCTGGTGACGAAGAATACGGTGGTCCACGAGGTCGAACGCTTTAGATAGGTCGAAGTAGGCAACGTCGAACCTTACTCTGACATTGACTGACTCTGTACAGCTTGTTTTGGTCAGCAACAAATTTATAGCGCATGACAGATTTCGTGGGAATCCATGCTACAGTGACGCTATGATGTTGCTCTCAAGGTGTCCTATGAGCGTCTACGCGATAATACCTTCAACAAATTTGGATAACAATGGAAGAAGAGTGATTGGGCAGTAGTTCGAGGGCGCCTCAAGAGTTCCATTCTTGTAAACAGGAGTGACTATTCCAATTTGCTACATGGTCGGAACTTGCAGCTCATCATGCCACTGTTGAAAGGACAGAGCTATCGGTTCGGTGATATTCATGGCGGCTGTATATAAATGCATTTATTATTATGTCGTCCAAGCCAGGAGAACTGTGCACGCGCAAGGACAGTAGTCGTTTCTTCCTATCTGCTGCCGTGCACAACACGTGGGTCGTGCGAGCTGTCAAAAGCAGGTGCAGATGATTTTTGACAGATTTGTGAACAATCGGTTAATTTAGTTGATTAGCCAATCAAATAAACTAACCAATTGTTCACAAATCTCTTCGAAATCATGACTTCACGATTGGTTCCAAGTATATTCCAACAGGTGCGGATGAATTGTTACCGAAGCGCATTTACCACCACTTGCGTAGTTAGCATCTTTCTATTGCACTTAGAACCAGGATTTCACGCTGCACTATCCGGAGCCTGTCCACGTGCATGCAGGGCATTTTAGGATTGGTGGTGAATTTTATAGCCGTCCTGCTGATGTTCCAGTTTGTCCTGGCGGACCAATTTAACACAACGATTTCGCTGAGTTATGCGTGCATTCCAGGCCTGCATACTTAGACAGGCATTGTAAGCTCGCCAGTCCGCATCCTTTAAAGCAGTATACCTTCGAGTGCTGGCGAGACTTCGGTTTCCGACACCTTTTTCATTAGCCCGGCGACATCGGGAATCCGCCTCAGCTATTAAGGGCCAGTTAGCTGCTTGGTCGATGCCAAACAATATGCCGTAATGGGTGACGAAGTGGACTTCCTTGCTGTTTTCACAGATGTATTCCGAGTAGCAGATATGTAGGAAGAGAAACATAGCTTGATCGCTACGGCCGGGTGGCGCAACTATAATAACAATATCGATGTAGCAGTTCCTCGATGTTGAGTAAAAGGTTTAAGCCAGATAGTCGCCAGTTCCGGATCTCGTGGGTGCGGTGACATGGTTGCAAAATTGGTATATCTGCGGTTATTCCTTGTAAACCCAGTTTGAATAGCTTGCTGAGCGACTTTGGGGCTTCGATTGCGTGCAGGTTGTCGTCCCCCACCAGAAGGACGTAACGGTATGGCCGTGCCAGCGTTCGTGTCGCATCAGACGCCAGGCGGGAATCTATTTCTAGGTAGGACATTGGTAGGTGATAAACTGTTACTAGTAAACACACGTCATGTCACAGGTGCAGACGATACCAACCAGCAAATAGTGCTTATGGATCGTCGACGATATCGATATGCATGTCCGATCGGTAAAACAAGAGAACTCAGCCTACTCTATTCGGTCGATTGTTCCGTAGGAGAATCAAGCCGGGCAGGGATATCCAGCATCAGTCATTTCGGTATTCAGCTACGTACCAGTTATTATGATAATTTTCATAGTAGTGGAAGCTGACGAGTACGAAGGTAGGCCAGCTTACTGAGAAGTCTCTGTGCGCTGTCAAACAAGCAGGTGAGAACCTCAGCGCTGAATATTTATTTGAAGACATGGTTTCTCGAGTGAGAGTTTATGCCGACCATTGTGGGAATCGGCTATAGGTCTGCTATCGTCGGACGGTAAGTGCAGAATCCGGGGCAATTTCGGTTTGCTGTCCAGTTCCCAGTGTCAGTAAGTAGTTGAAAACCTAGACCACCTTCAGCTGACTGCGTTCTAGTTCTAGACTGCATGCTGATGAGTTGCACACAAGACAGTGACTGACAACAGGATGTTCACTGCATCATCTCCTTACTGAAGCGTTACTGGGAGTAACTGTGGTTCCCCGTAAGGTACCGAGCTTTGATGATGGAAGAGTCGCTTCATACTGGCCGACTTTGCTTTGACTCCGCTCAGTTGACACATGGAACCCCACTGTTTCTGGTCACCTAACAGTCTGCCTTTGATGGAGTTCTTCTCAGATTTGGGCATATTGAAGCAAATAACAATATGAGAATTATGATGCTGTTTGGTACCCTTCTTTTTGATGCTGTGTGGCTGCGTTCTTTCCTCGGACAACGAATGGCCTACTAGGTCCAACGGTCAAATTCGATTATGTGCCGATTTCTCGACGGATCTGAATGCTCATCGATAACCCTTACCGCTTCCGGAGCATTTGTTTGCAAAACTGAATGGGGGTAAGTGTTTCGCAAAAATGGATCTTTCCGATGCATACATGCAGATCGAGATACATGAAGCCTCACGAGAATTAGTCACCAACAAGACGCACCGAGGCTTGTACCAGTACCACGGTATTCCGTTTGGAGTCAAGTCCGCACCAGCCACATTCCAACAGATCATGGGCACAATGATGACAGACGTCGCTGGCGCAGCTGCATACTTAGGTGACATCATTGTTGCCGGAGGCAATGCGGATGATCTACTGGAAAAGTTGGGTTGAGTTCCTGGCCGTGTTGGAGTGTGGATTCAGAGTCCGACCTGAGAAGTGTACCTTCTTTATGGACACAAATACGTTTTTCGGCTTGATAATCGACAAAATGGCAGACGTCCAGGCCCAGCTAAGGTGGAAGCTCTCAAGAAGATGCTGCCACCCAAAGATGTTGCAACACAAAGGCCCTTTCCAGGACTCATAAGCCATTACAGCTCGTTCATAGTGCATATACATCGCTTACGTGGCCCACTGTACGAATAAGTGACGAAGGATAAACCCTGGAACTGATCCGGAGAATGTCAGCGATCAGTTGAGACGGTGAAAAGGCTTCATGTTCCGATCTTCTGCTGACACATTACGACCCTATCTTGGAGATTGTGGTGGCCGCAGACGCTTCGAACTATGGCATTGGTGCAGTCATAGCCCCCAAATTCGCAGATGGCTTAGTAAAGACAATTGCACACGCAGCCAGATCGCCTTCTCTTGCAGAACGAAATTATGGTCAGATAGAGAAAGAGGCCCTGGTAACATTTTTCGAAGTCACGAAACTTCATAAAATGCATTATGGGAGAAAGTTCACACTTCTTACTAATCATAAGCCGCTGTTTGCAATTTTCGGATCAAAGTCAGGCTGCGAGGTTAGGCCACCACTTTGCACGGTTACAACCTCGAGGTGAAGCATGTATCCACAAAGGACACGGTGCCAAGCTGACGTGCTTTCTCGACTATTGGAAAATCAGCAGCCCCAGAAAAAAGAATTAATCGTCGCAGCGATTTCCTTGGAGTCCATATTGAACCAAGCACTAATGGAGGCACAGAAAGCTTCCGGTTACTTTCGAAATCGTGTGTGATGAATTAACCCGAGATCCAGTCCTTCAACAAACTCATCATACACAACACTCAACGTATTTTACTCTCCTTGTGAAAAGTTTGGGCACCCCTAATCTACGTACTGTAGTAGTCCCCACGAATACGGTCGCTGTGAGCAACCGCGTTCAGCATACAGCATCAGCACTTGATTACATGTCCACCTGAAAACTGATATTAGTTAAAATTTATATGGGCGACTAGATTTATCATGATGTTGACGTTAGCAGCCTTGAGATAACAAGGTATATCCGTACCAAGCTTATCCACAATTAAATAGGCAAACAGAAGACAAGATGGAATGCAAGGTGCAATGCTGTGTAATAGAAATAAAAGAAATTATATGAGAATCCAAATTGCTTGCTATGAAAAAGAGCGCTGAGTACCTGCGGCATAAAAAATAAAAAAGCAAGGTTACATCTATCCACTGATTTGCAAATCACAGGAAGGGAAAATGTTTTTGATGGAGCCCGGGTGACATTAGGCAGATAGTAGAAATTTCATTCCAGCCATCAATCAATTGACGTAATGTGTCAAATAATAATCATGAAAATAGAAAAGCATAGCCATTGGTTGGCCGATAATCAAAGTGATCCAAACGGCCAAGTTGCCCCAAGGACCGCCCTTTGGGAACAACCAATTGACTAATGCTGCGTAGGGTATTTGACCAAACATGCACAGAAAAGCCCACATGCGGGGCATTTTGAGCGGCACAGAGATCAGAAACTCGTGCAACACCGCGCTGATAAAGAATACCACTATGCCAGCCTGTGGACGAGTCAATCCGAATTCGATCAGCGGTAAGTAGATGTGGCTGGAAGAGAAGAAAGAACGACAAAGTTGATGTCGCACGGGATCGCACAATTAACTCAGATAAATATTCCGGAATTGCTCCCGATGATGGAAGGATTCAATCAGCAACTACAGTTAAACTGGAAAAATGTGCACAAGAACGCGCAGTAGGTGCGGGTAAAGTTAAGCAAAAAAAAACAACTTTGCCGAAGTGGTCACGAGTTCCAACATTCAGTTTAGCGTAATAAAAGCAAGCTGCAAAATAACCTCGTCGACGTCGCCAGGTTCCTTGTGCGCTCCGCTCTCCAAAGGAAAAACAAGTATGCAGACAGTATGCCCACTCAGACAAAGTCAGTCAGCAAACGCTAGATGAAGTTAAGAAACACAATTTAACTATTGCGCCATAATAAAAGAAGACAGGATGTAAGAAAAGTGTGACATACACCAACAAAGGTATAATGCTAGGCAGCAAATTACGTTGGGGGCGAGATCTTGATAAGAGGAAAGGTTGGAGGAACAAATAAAATTACAATACAGACGCCACTGAGGTCCACTCATCGTATGTCAACAAGTGTGCATTCTTGGGACCCCGGCCCAGCAGTCGGAAGACACCAACCGACACAAAGTTCGAGGTGAGGGTCTTATTTCATGTTGGCCAACCGATCGCTTGACTACCCACTGCTTCTTCTATCCACAACGCCGGCGTGTAAGCAACGCCCGTCGCAGTAGTTGGTTTGTTGGCATACGCAACACGTGGCCCAGCCATCGGAGGCCGGCGCGTGAAATAACGGTGCTGAGCGGTTCACCAGCTTCTACTGCACCAAATGTACGATGCCGAACACGCTCAGTGCACAGGCGGCACTCCCCACCAGACATGAGCTAAACTGCGATGGAAACGATGATCCAACGTAACCATCCAGTTCATGTCTGTTGACTTGATGGGCCAGGTATCGCATACATATAGGAAGGTTAAGTGGACAACCGCACTGTAAACTCTGCCACTCAAGGCGATAGTGGTCACGCCGGCGCTACAAGTAGAGGGAGTTGGCAAAGCGCCTCGAGCTTTTGCTATACGGCTCGTGATTTCATCTTCCATTTCACTGGTACTGATATAACTTCCCAGATAGTACAGTTTCTGGATGACTTCTATCTGATCACCAACAAAGATCAGAGTAGGAGAGGGTCTCTGCTAGCCTTGGAGGACTTTGCATTTCGATGCTGCAAAGCATTTAACAGTGCTAAATTGTCTAGTGCATTTGACATGTCTGGGAGTTGTCAGAGATGAGGACAATGTCATCGGCGTAGTCAAAGTCATATCTGGTGGGAGCACCGAGTGAGAAATGAGCGTGTTCGGCGTAGTGCATTTGGTGCAGGAAGAGCAATTGAACTGCTCAGCATCAGGCTCCGATGGATGGGCCACGTGTTGTGCATGCTAACACACCAACTACTGCGACGTGCATTCTATGTACGCCGCGGTTGTGGATAGAAGAGCAGGGAAACCAAGCGATCGGTTGGCCAAGATGAATTAAGACCCTCACTTCGAACGTGGTGTCGGTTGGTGTCTTCTGACTGTCGAGCCGGGGTCCTAAGAATGCGTTTGGTTGGATACATTTGTTGATATTTAAAGCAATTAGTTTCCTACGAAAATTTGAAAAGCGCGGAAAAAAGACAAACACTGGTAGATGCATACATTTCGTATTGTCTTTTCAGTACCATTAACAATGGCCGATAGTTAACATTGGGTGTGACCAGACATACTTGAGCTGCAGAGTGAGTGAAGTTCACACCTATGTCCATAGCAGTCTTCAGCTGACAAATAATTGATTAAGCACACAGAGCAAATATGAAACACGGGCGTTGTGCGACGGGCTGACAAACTCGGGTGAAAGTCGACTGAGTGAACAAGATCTGTGTTTGACCCGAACAAACAACCAAATATGGCAAACCTGGTAGGCGGAACGCATTCCTATTGGCTGAGGCCGGGAGGCCGAAGATGACGTGATCGATATTTGAACAATTAAAATGTATGGTTGACAAATAAATGGAACCGTTCTTTTCATAGAATATACTCCGTCTACCGATTCCTGACTTTGGATTTTCGCAGAGCGGACCGTAGACAGCAGCAGCGTAGGCGAAGTAGTATATCTTTAAGCACACATACAAACACGCGGTGGGTTCTCCAAAATCAAAGCTGAAAATTTCGAGCAATTAGACTATTCAATCAAGTTAAAAACCAGAGTGAGATTCGAGTTCCAGCCCAGTTCAGGCTGTCTACATCTGATAAAACCAAAGCAGGACGAGACCGTCGGCCGTAGGGTGTCAGTGTTGTGGGGAGCAGACCGAGATTTGTTCGAGTGGTGATTTAATGATACCTGACTCCAATAACCGAGACAAAAGTAAGCACCGGACTAATTTCATCACAGCAAGAACACGAAAAAGCTATCCAAACGACTGTGGATTCCACGTGAACTCTCGACCTCACAGTTGTTCTTGCTTTTAACATCCCAGACCCTGTATAGGTTCTTGATACAATCAATGGTTTCTGAGCCACATTTGATACACCACCGCACTTGGTCGCAGTCAGTTTAGTGCCAAGCAGGATCCACACCTATCCCGCAGCAGTAACGCCGAATTCTACAGTTCAACCTACACCTTGACTGCTACCCGCACATTACCATACCTAACAAACCTTTGCTTTAGCAGAGATATATCGGCCACATATATTTATCCACGTGAACAGGTTTTCACACATGCACGAGTAATCAACTGAAGTCACGAGGCCAGAGCATAATAGTCAAAACATTCGCATCCTCCCTTTTAGGTGCCCCGTGCTGTGTTAATCCGACTTATTTTTCTAAGCCACTTCGGTTCCTCCGCTGGGTTACATATTACTGGACTAACAATGTAAAATAGTCTACAAAGCTGATAACACGTTTCTTAAAATGTATGGACATATTCTCAATTTTTAGATGAAAGTGTGTCAGCGAGCAATACCACCACCTAGATACAATGCAACAGCCCTTACAATAAAGATGCTAAAGAAAGCAGGTTACGACATATAGCCGAAGATACATAGCACAGCCTAGTCCGGAAAAGCACCAGACGCGTTTCGCCCTAGTGGGGCTCGTCAGTGCTGCGCATTCGGAAAATCCCAATAAAATTACAGCTGAAATCCTGCTACTCATGAGTCATATATAGTCGAAGAACGACTGGCAATGCACAATAGCCGCAATATAAAGGCACCCAAACAACTGCTACAATCAAGAAACCCCAGGCGCCCTGACCGAATCTCTAGGTCAGCTCGATTCAATGGCGTAAGCATCACGAATACGCTCTCCATACGTGAAGACCTCAGTAAAAATTTTCGTTTCTTCGTCTAGTAGTGGGCCTAATCATGCTCATGTCAATCCGAAAAGAAGAGCGAATTGCACACTTCCGTAGGTAACTATAACACTTACAAACGTAAAATAATATGCAAATTACGTTCGACCTACTCCAGTGGGGACAGGTGATGTCTCTCCAATGGTACTCACCCATGAGGCTGAAGACATCGCACCTTTTCTTAATATGTCCGGTATTCCACAAAAGTATGTCCGCTTTCCTATCCAGTAGAAGTATTACCATCATTTCGCGGCACAAAAACAGTGAATGAGACTAAGTATGGAACCAGCTTCCCATTAATCACACTTTAATCATATTTAGAGTGTTTAAAAAAGCACTGGATGGGTATCATCCGACACACTGGCTTTGAAGTGGTCAAGCGCACGGATTTATGACCATTCACCCATGGAACGTCTACCAACAAGATTTTATCTAATGCGTCCTTCTGTTGAAAATATCAAAATGGTGGTATTGATGACCTTCTTGGATATGCACAACTTTTTCGCCTGGGTACCTCATAAACGGTTCCTGTTAAAACTTAAAGCATTCGGAATACGCGACCCACTTTCGGCGTGATTCACCTCCCCGCTGATGGTTTGCAGGCAAAACCACGAGTACTAACGAGCCAAGTGAGACAAAGCAGTGTCATTTGTTCCACTCAGTTCTTCAAATATATCAACGATATTTTCGATGGAATCTAATAAGAAGAAACCATTCGGTTTTGCTGGTGATCGTTCTAGCTTTCCCATTTGAACATGTGCAGGCAATTTTGGAGAACATTCAAATGGGCCGCAATTTCCCTGATCCCTGGTCTAATGAATGGTTAAATAAATTTTCCGCACATAAACCCCGAATCCTATGTCATAGAGGTGATATAACATTACACAGCAACGCACTAAGTTCGTGGCTTAGGAACAAGCTATACTAACCGATTAAAGCCTTCATATTTAAAACAGGTCCAAATCACCATCATCATCATACACGTTAGCTAGAGGTAGGAAACACCTCAGCTACTGTGCCGCAATAAAAGAAGAAAAAAGGAGAGAAAAATATGCAACAGGTGCACGCCAGCTGAGCTACCGGCAACGGATGGGCATCGTTCCGGTAAGCTACCAGCCGGCTACTGTGCATAAAAAAAATTACTATGCAAAATTATATAAGGCTAAATAATGAGATCGCGGTTGGAGGGGGAGGCTAAGTGGAATGGGGTGGGACAAAGAAACTCACAGCACCAACGCCACTGAGGTCAGCTCCTAGCTATATCAGCAAGTATGTTCAACCAAACGTGTTCATCGTCTTTCGGACCCCAACCAAGGAGCCGAGACGCTCCAACCGAGGCCAGCTCAGAAGTGAGGACCTTCATCCCTCTCGACCAAGTCATCGCTCGGCCACCCCTCCTCTTTTTCCACCCACGCCCCAGTGAGCAAATAACGCACGTCGCCGGAGTCGGTGGGCTGGCATGCGTAACACGTGGCCGAGCCATCGGAGCCTGGTGCGTGAAATTACGGTGCTGAGCGGTTCACTTCCTTTTGCTGTGCCGTAAACAAGGCGTAGAACACACTCGTTGCTCACGCGGTGTTCCCACCAGATGTGAGCTAAATTACGAAGGCACCGGTGGTCGAACGTAACTAGCCTCTTCAG